AAAATTGGCATAATAATAACATCCTACTGTCTGTGATGATTAAACAAGCAATGTAAAATCACTTTGAAAGGCTTTACATAACATACCAATGTAATGTAAGAGGAAGCAAATATCACTCCTCCAAATGGGGTATAAGTCCTGTGGTTCAACTTTCAAAGTCTAAGCCTGACTCACCTTCCCAGCCTTGTTAAACCCCTTAACCGACCTGTGGTCACTCGAGTGGGAGAAGAGTCATGTGTAAGGCTCCAAGGGTGGGGCAGTGACTATTCAGTCAGTTGTTCCATATCTCCATGGCTTCATCTATAAATCGGGTTGTGTGGAATTCATTCACATGTCCACAAGATACTGTAGGTCTGAGGAAAGGAGTGGAGAATTTACCAAAAGTAAAATATTTACATAAACCCCTCCCTTCCAGGGATAAATAACCAAGGTCATCAAATATTACCACTTCTTGCACTGATCTAGAAAGGGCCTTAGAGATCATTACATTTGTTTTTACAGATGCGAAAAATGAGGCCCACAAATAAACTGAATTGTAGAAGTCTAAGAGAGAAGTCAGTGGGACAGCAGGGGCTAGAGCCCAGATCCTCAGATTCCAAAGTCCACCGCCCTCTCTGCCAGATTGCAGCATCACCCAAGGCACCTGTGGCCCATACACATTATCAACACCAAGACACATTACAATTTAATCAACAGCCAAATGTAGGCCATGAGGGGAGGGGTTATATTACTCTGGGGGAAGGAGGGAGGCTAAGAGCTGGGGGAGCTAGGAAAAACTTCACTGAGGAGGATGTTGGTTGAAATACTCAGGTGAGAGGAAATCAAGGGAATAGTTAAGGCAGAAAAAAGGCAGTTGTGGGAAGAAAAGACCTGATGGATAAAATTTTCTTTAGGGAAAATAAATGACAGATTAGAAGACTATGATGCTTTGAATCAGGATACTCCCTGATTATATGCAACTTAGTCCTTTTGTTGTCTTCTGAGTTTTTAACATTTATTTATATTTTTAATTCCCTAATATACTGTCTCCCTGCAAAACAGGGCCCTCTACAGAGACCACATCTAGCTTAGTGATCAAATACGTAGTCTCTGGACTCAGACTGCGTAGATTCAAATCCTTGCTTTACCAGTTACGAGCTATGTAACCTTGGACAAATGCTTTCACCCTTCTGTACCTCTGTAAAATGAAAATAACACCATCACCCATTTCAGGAGATTTTGTAAGGACTAAATGCGTGTAGTGGTCACAATCTCCTAATGGATTTTTAATCACTTTAGTTATAAAGTGCCCTTTTCTATATATAAACCAAAGTACACTGCATGTAGTAAAGTACTGTTTCACAAAAATATTGTTTCTGTCACATATGTGTGCATAGATTTCTGATTCATGATGTAAAATTTATTTATTACATTGGTTTGCTTTTTAAAATGTAAGAGCCACTGAACTAATGCATAGAACAAGGCTTAATCAGTGACTAGCATATAGTAATCACTTAGTGCTATCTATTGTTGTCATAGTTGCTGTTATGTACCTATCTATTAAAGTTGTTTTTACAGCTATATATAAAAATGCAAAAGCACTTTGGCAAATCTCATATATAATATTAACATAAGTTAAAGGCAAAAAGCTCTTCTGTCTCTGAAACCCACACAAGCAAAGCCCTGTTTAGGCACATATTTCTTGCTTGGTCCACTAACTACCTGTTACATTAAATTGAAGCGTCCACAGACTAATTTATCTGACCCTCTGCCAGTATTTGCAGAGAAATGCAGGCTTGGCACCAGAGTAAAATAATTTATTTTTACCTGGTTGGTGCGTTGGGTTTGGGAAGGTGGGAGTCAAGCCCATGGGTAGCTGAGGGAAGCAAGTGACTCAGAGAACTGTTTGCTCCCCCAGAGCCAAATATGCCACAGACAAGCCCAGACTAATAGATACCTGAGCCTTTGGGCAGGGCTGAATCACTTCCCCCTGCCTATACTCACCCAGACACCTCATAAAATAGCACGTGAGCCTATTACAGGTGTCCCTCAGGAAAAACCAGGACTCCCCAGATACAAAAAGGGGCTGATTACACAACAAAAGGTTACCTGAGAGGTTCCTTTAAATGACAGCTCACTTAAACGTTTAAAATAGCATTTAAATTCTAAAACCTCAGTTTACAGAAAAATATGCAAAATGTGCTCACCAGTTAAGAAATCAGAAGATCTGGATTCCATCCTGGACACTGTGTGACCTTGAATCAGTCATTTCCTCTCTCTAGGTTTAAGTGTCTTCTTCTGTTAAAAAAAAAAGAGAGAGAGAGAGAGAAAGAAAGAGAGAGATAACAACACCTACCTCAGATCATGGTAAAAATTAAAGACAGTATGCAGTAAAAAGCCAAGCATAAGATCTGACACTGGCAAATTCCCAATAAACGTCTGTCCCTTCTAGACTAAAAGTGAATACCAGCTGTTATAAACCGAGGCTCACCGGCCAGCTGGCCTGTGAAAAAGTCACAGGCATCTTAGTGTCTTCGTGGAAGTTAGCCTTCCTTTAAAAGGAGCTTTATAAAACCCTACCGTGGTCTCTCCAGCACAACTGCTGTGCTGAGAAGTCGGGGAAAGCAGTAATTTCCCATCTCAATCCTTACAGCAGTGGTTTGTAAATGCTTTGGCACTTAGGGAGCAGATTATCCCTTGGTACTGCCCGCCATTATTCATTGTTAAACTTAAAAAGAGCAAGAGGATCGATATCGTGCCTACATTTTACTTATTCGTGTTCCCACTTCAAATGAAAGGGAGGGAAACGCGTTAAAATTCGCCCGCGAGCTTCCCGGTGTGGTCTTAAGACTCCCGGCGCAGGGAAGGCCCCGAGGAGGGGGGATGCTCATGTTAGAGTTTTCGGGCCGACCCCAGTTTCTCGTTGGTGCCGAATCCAGGCCACGTGCCGCCATTTTGTTTCCAGGAAACATGGCGGCCACCCCTGCGGGGAAG